CGATGAGCAGAATGGGATGATCTTAAGTTTGACTTTCATAAAAAGGTTTACGAACTTTGCAGAGAAAACAACAAAAATAATCGTTGCAAGATCAAAAGGTCCGAACATCTTAAGTCAAACCAGAATTCGGTTGAATTTCTAGCAGATTACTGACGAATCTCGAAAACCTATTGCTCCTACGTTGCATGGTTGCAACTGATAAGTGTGATTACTGGATTAACCTTTTAGTGTAGAGTTCACTCTCGCCACCTTGAATTACCACTTTGTGCCATCTTTTTACGCATACTCCTCCTCCTCCTCCTCATGGATTTTGATTATTCGATTGATTTCTAAGGAGAAATTGCCTCCTTTGCTGAAGGAATCCCGGTAGTCTCTAAGTCAAAGTCCTCTTTTTGCATTTACCTTCGACTTAGAAATGAGATTCCTCGTCACGATCTGTTCTCTTTAGATATGACTTTGGATTTGGCACGATAACGTAAAAGACCATAGGACATTTTTTCTGCTTAACTAGAAATGGATAGAAGAAGGAAAAATTGTCGTTCTTTATTACAGGTTGGTAACGCTTGACTTCGCCTTTCATGTCGTAGGCTTTGACAAAGTTGCGTGATCAAATAGCTCAATGTTGGGTAGTCACGTACGCTATTTACTATCAAAGCTCCCATAGTATTCAAACCAAAACGAGTGATAGAGAGACTCATCCTAAAAGGCCTTATTGTCTGTGCGTCAAAGAACAATTTGCAGTCGTTGCAGTACAAGGTTTTCTGGCACATTGGGTTGAATATGATCATCGTATATATATCTCATCAGCCTACAAGATATGGCTTCAGCATGTAAGGTCGTGAGGCTGTTTACTCATTTGCTTCGGTTGGCTCCAACAAGTTTTGATTTCTGACAAATCTTTGTACTTTTTAAATTTACCAAATGTCCAGATGTGTTAAATTTTCCCAAGGATTTGTAATACACACGTAGACAAAACTTGAACTTGCACCTCAGCATCAAGGTTCAGCCAGCATGATGGCCATCGAGGTCATGATGTAGGAAGTATAATTTCGTGAAAACAAAGAGATATTGGATACTTATCACCTTCAACTATAATTTTTACCCCTTCATCTTTTTTAGCATCCACTGCCATCGATTTTATACCTTAATCACCAGCCATATATTGGACGATTATTTACTATGTCTAAATTTTTTCTGAATCGTCCTGTTCCAACTCCAATAACCATCTAATGACTAATATTAGGATGGTTGTATGTTTTCAATTAATTGGAAGTGGAAAAAATTGGAAAAATGCACTTAGAAGTGGTTCTTTTTTCACTAACATAGATAGAAAATTAGAAATTCAAGATTGTAATGTTGGATAAATCAATATAGTAAGATGTATCTAGTTATATTCACATAGACTTTATTCACAAGTTAAAAAAAGCACACTATTTGCATTATTTGAGTAACTTGACTGTAAGCATGTAAAGCCTTTCATATAAAAGTAGACAGTTTGAGTATGTTTCAAGTAACCATTAGATATTTGAGGTTTCGTCGCATGTAGAAGAACGTGTTTATATGTGCAATAGGCTCCCGACTGTAAACCCCATTGGATTTATCTGACGGGTATCAATAAAGATAATGTACTCTTACGTTATTGCGAAACACAGAAACTGCATGTGTTCTGTCTGTGTTTGGAGAATAATGAAGTTGACTGATCCAGCCCAACATGAAGCTAGGAAGTTCACACATTTCATGTTGAAAATTCTTTTACACTTGGAACATCATCAACCATGCAGTATGAGATTTGTGCAACCATGCAGTATGAGATTTGTGCAGCAGACAAGGGCACAAGCATTCACATTGCCACCGCTTGCACAAGAACCCTGAACGAGTACAAACTTTCAGCTACGGCAATCATTTGAAGGGTCCAAGGTGCTGCACGTAAGATGCATGGGGGACAGTATAGTATAATTAAGTTGCGCGCTGATGGAAGGAAGATGCCTTCGAGACTTCCATACATAAAAGATGAGGCTCCGGTGTTCCGGAACAGATCCTGAGTCCATCAACATTCTCTCACTCGTGCGTTAAAATCATTGTCGTCATCATGAGTAGTAGCACCTTTGACTGTATCAAAGGAAGCTGTCGACAACAATAATCTTGCAACTTCTTCAAAGTAGCAACTTGTTGTCCTCTCGTCGAAGGTAGTCAGTTTTGCCCCTTTGCGCACGAGACTCCGAATCGTCGAGTTCTAGACAAGCCCCGTCGATTTCAACTCGTAAACTGATAAGAGCGATGAGCAATGGTGGGATCAAATGGAGTTTCAGTCCATGCTTCTCAAAGGTTTTATTGGTGTAAGAATAATCTTTCTCAAGGAAAATATGTCGAGGATCCGTCTGAGTGGAGCCATATATATACATATTTGTTAAACTAAAGGTACGAAAGCTTAAAAGTCACAACCCAACCCCACACATGAGACATACGGTTGAGTGCACAATCACGGAACTTTGAAAGTCGTTTTAAAATCCCATGAAAAAGCGAAGTACAAGCATAGGTTAGTTACTCATCAAAACAGACAAATAGAGTAAAGACGTCACTTATTCATCACACGTATTAACGATATTCAGAATAGGCGGTACATATGTTTATTGCATTAAGTATCCAGTGACCATAAAAGGTAGGTAAGTGGAGATGTCGTCAGTCTTAAGAGACTGATAACAAATTCCTCCACTCATTAGACTTGTCGAGGTTTTTTATCTGTATTTGAGCATCGTTCACTCAAAGGATGTGCATGATCGGTTGTCCATTGAGGATAAGGAATCTTAGGAGTAGTTGTGAAGTGTGTATTGTGTGCGCTTAAGCATGATCTTCACATCTCTAATTGTGGCAGGCAGTTCAGATATGAGGCAAATGCACATAAACATCCATTTGCTTCGACTGGTGGTCACATATGCATCAGGTGTGGCTGAAGGGTCTCCAAATGCAGGAAAATGATTTATTCAAGACTTCTGGACCATGGAGTGGGTAATTAACAATTTCCCGGCATGATGAAAGGGGACTTAAAATAAGTCTCTTCGGCTGTATTCGGGTTCCATTAACTCTTTGGGGGTACAGAGAACTTTTTCTCGAATCCATGAAACGTACATTTTAAAGTTTTGGGGTAAAGCCAAAGGCCCTAGAGAAATTTCGTACATTAAATTAAGAAACATACACTAAAAACGAATAAATCAATTTTGGAACATGAGAATCTACAACCGGTCGTAACAACTCTATATCACTTATAGGACCTAGGACATGTGTTTTGAAATGGGTTGTGATCCAAAACATCGCAGTACATTTAAACTTCAAGTGATATTTCGCGAGTCCGGCTGTCTTGGTAAAGACCTGTCTTATCACCGATAGACAAGGCAGTGCATCTTTTGTGGACCTCAAATGTCCTCCCTCTCCGGTTGGAACCACCGATAAGTGGCAATGGATTTTATTAAATCTCACTCAAGGAAACACGACGAGTTTGCTATTGCTTCTGTCAGTTGTCGATGAAGATTGTCAACGAATCCGAGCAGTTTCCTAAATAGGCAGGTTTTCTTGGAGCATTAACTAAATTTATCTGAAATAATTAACTGAGGCAAAAATAAAAGACTGCACGAGTAGGACTGCACCATGCACGATGAGTGAGCAGGGAACTCATGAGAGTCACTGAGAACATAAGTATGTACGATATGTCATTGTACTCCGCAGGTAAGAATGTCGGTTCACAGTATAGACAGAGTCACTGAAAGAAAGTTCTAGTGGTCCAAATAAAGAACAGAATGTCGCGAAGGGAGGTGTCGCTACCCTGTTGGCGATTACAAGGGCTTCGGGTTTTGCTTCCCTCGAGGAATATGCAGACCAATTAGGAGACGTACAAAATAAAATAGCTAAAAGGATGGAAGACAAAGGGGTAGTATTGGGCAAGGCCCCAAAATGAGTGGTTGGTTAAAAGTATTCGTCAGGCAATCAACCGTTCGGACTAGACCCAAGATGTAAACATTCTTCGTCTAGAGTCCAATGATGGATGCCATAGATTACGAGCTGCACTTAAAGTTTTGTTCTGATTATCGATAAAACTTTGTTTTCCGGTGAGACATTAGGAGCTGGATATCAAATTTTGTTTTGACAATCGAGAAAACATTGATTTTAATGAAAAGCCACAGCAACAGCCAGCATTTGATGGGGGCTTCTTCAAACTAAACAAGCTTCAGCAACAGTCATCAACATCGAAAATAATATTAGTAATGATGTAGATATCTCGTGCTATCGTTCTCTCCGTATGAACGGATACCAATTGTCCGGATAATGATGTGCTCCACGGTCTCTACTCCACTAACTTGAACCGTCCTTATGTCGCCCATTCAACACTCCCACACAAGTCACCGGTATGCGTCATTTGATCAGAATCTACAATTTCTTGCACCTTATTGAATGCATAAACTGCGAAGAGCAATTAAAACCTCGCGCTATTATTACTGTCAGGGGATGCTCGTCTCGTCCTCACAGTCACCGAGCCATTAAGGTGTAGCGCAATCAGCAAGAGCCGAAATTTTGGATTGGCAACACCACGGGCCTCCAAAAGAGTTAAGGGCATCAGAGCCAACACCTTCCATTCAACGCCAACGGGGATTTAGGGACATGGCATGTGAATCAGATCACACCAGACCGGACCCGACCAGAAACATCTGATTGCGTCGCGCGTCGAGACGCGCAGCATCAGTTTGGTAAGATAGACAAAACACATTGAAGAGCAATGGCCGAGCTTAGGTGAAGGATGCGAAGGTCCTAGGGACGGTCCTAGAGATATACTGGGGAGGGGCGGCAGGCAAAAGAAAATAAAAAAATCCGAAAAGCGGCAAGGAAGGGCATATTTGCGGTTCGGCCAGCTTACCGGCGAAGAAACGACAAGGGCCCGAAAGGAGGAGGAGTGTCGGCACCGACTGATTATTAGAGAGCGGAGTGAATAGCGTGGTGCCGTTCAGCTGGAGTGGAGGGGGTGGCCCTTCGGTCTGGAGGCCCGAGGGGCAGTGGAGGGCCGAGGACCAGAATGAGACTTGGAGTAGACCCCCCCACAGACACACACACCTCGCTGCGCGCATCATTGTAGTGCTTTCACTTGTCAGCTTCGAGACAAAGTCCACGGATCGAGCACAGGACAGCCCAGCCTCGCCTCGTCCCTCCCCTCTCGTTCCAGTTAGTCCGGCAGTCGGTCAGTCGGTTGGTCTTGTGGGTGACTGACTGACTAGTCGACGAGCCGACCCTGAGCCTGCGCCTTTGCCTGTGCCTGCTTGCCTGTCTGCCTGCTTGCCTCGCCTTGCTCGTCGGCTGGCTGCGACGGAGATCATTTCGCACAATTTTCGGCCATTGTTTCGATTTCGGAAATCTCTGACGGAGAAAAATAGATGTGTGCTGTTTTCGGGTGGGGGCCAAACTAGGTCCGAGCTCGGACTCGAGCTCGAGCACCCTCGAGTACAGTGAGCTAGCGACCAATACAGCGCGGGGCGAAGCGAGACGAGATCAGAGGGAGCAAGAGCCCCCATCGATACTGATACTGTCGATTCCAGTAGCTTCGCCTGCTGTCCTGGATTTGGTGTCGCTCGGCAGGAGATTTTAGAATAGGAGGTCTCTGGGCTGGGCTGGGCAGGCCGCTTTATTTCTAGTGCGCTAAAGGTGACGGTCCTCGTGCAGAGCAATTTCGTGAAGAACGACTGTGGGACGACGTCGTTTGGCCGCAATTCTGTAATTCGTTTCGCCACTTATTTCAGATGTTTTCAGCGGAGGTTTGCAGCTTACTGGGGCTTGCCACTTTGCCGGAGACTGGAGAGCTGCTGAATGAGGCCCGTCTCGTTCATGAAGACTAGGAAACGATTCGGCCTGCAGTAATCGCCGCAAGCTTGTGAGTGTCCATCTGTCACCTTCCACCCTCTCTCGTCGGATCGCGTGCCTCGTGTGAATGTCGTCAGTAATAAAACAAGGTCGACAGGTCCTTTGTCACAGCCACGAATGTGCATTCGGGCTGAACTCTAGGCCGTAAAGCGCACATTCAATTCACCAGCTTGCCGCCATAATTTTGCGATCCTTAGCTCTGTTTACTCGGTGTCCTGGTTCACGACTGAATGCTTCCGAACGAGCTTATGGCATGAACACAGACAGGGTTACAAATTAAAACATATCAGACGTAAGATAGTTCGTGCACCACATTCGCTCCGAGCAGGCCGAGGTTTCCGATCAATTATTCACGTGCAGGACCATGGGACGGCAACATATGCGTGATCACGAGCAGCATTCATAGATTCGGATGATATGATTTTCCAAGCTGCTTTCGCGGAGTAGTTGGTAGAGACGTATCCGAGCCTTTACTGTTCAGTGATAGATGTCGAGAATGCGTCAGAATATTGTGAGTCGTCGGGCCAGTGAATATGCATGGGTCACTTTAAAATGACCCACCCTCGGAAAAGGGGTTAGGCGTGTTCACCTGAATTCACAGAAACATTGGTGCTTTAGATGATTTAAAAAGAGTATCCAGCTCGCTTCCTAAGCTCCACACTCGCCTGCTTTCAAGCGTGATTACACGCCACAACTCGGAATCTAGCTTCATTTCTCCTTGTTATGTCGTCCACCTTCTTTTCGCTCGTTTGTGCAAGCTTGGCGGTTGATTCCGAGCTCTCGGACGAAGTGGTTGCTGCAAACGCTGATGTCGCATAGGGCTTTAGAGGGCGCCACGAAATTAGAAACGTATGAATTGCTACATCTTCAGTGTCAGTCAGTGAAGACAGTCAATCGGTCTAGCATAGTTCTAGTTCTGAATGAAACGTGGGAGTGAGGAGTTGCAGAGTTGAGTGTCAAAGTCGAGGGGAGAAAGATGTTTTTATTTTCAGTTTATAGCGTTGGCCGCATGTGACATTACTGCGATCGGTGATCGGACTGCGGACTGTGATCCAGATTTCCAGAAACCTTTAATCACGAACGTAACAGCGTCTCTGCGCAGGAAATGTGTGCTACGACACGATGGCTGGAGCGGGCAAAAGAAATTCGTCCACACTTATCGAAGTTCCGAAGGCGACACTTCGAGGCCAATTACAGGCGGCCGTGCAAAGCATTAAGTGGACGTACACTGCCTTCTGGCAGCAATCGAAGCAGAAAGAGTAAACACTTTGAGCACGCATGCGCATCCATGTCCATGTTTGTTCAGCTGATTTGTGGGCTCTTCTTGGCTAGCGGGCCTATATTGTCGGCCTTGCTCCTGCTGCTGCTGCTGCTGCTTGATTTTCCTGCTCTCCGCCTGAAGCTAAATTAGGAAAGAATGTGTGTTTTTTTCTTCCGGCAGTCCAATCCAAATGTAGTCCAGTCCAGTTCAGTCCAGTTTCGAGATACACGGCGGGCGAGCGAGCGCTTCGCTTCACTGCAACAACTCGTGATGGTGCCCGGATTGCATATCCGCCTCGCCTCGTATCAGATTCGCTCCTAGGATCGAAAGTCAACAATTAAATATCATCACGATCAGGTTGAAGACTTGTGTACCGGGGGGTGTAGAACGATGGCAGGGATGGATGGATGATGCTCTAGTTTCCAGAGGATGGTTGAAAATTGGAGCTTCGGTCGTAGAGCCGCTGGAACCGGGATTGCAATGACGACATGCCATCCCATCGAGGACACTAATGGGCAACGGTCGGTCCGGGCTTTGTCTTGCAGAGTGCTTGTCTGGGGAGATGGATATTATAATGGTGCCATCAAAACGAGGAAGACAGTCCAGGCCGCCGAGCTCAGTCAAGAGGAACTCGGCATGCAGAGGACAAGACAACTGCGGGATTTATACGAAACTTTGTCAACCGCAGGAGATGGCAATCAGTCAACCACGAGAAGGCCGTCGGCGGCTCTGACGCCCGAGGACCTCACCGAGACCGAGTGGTTCTATCTGCTATGCATGTCGTGCTCATTCTCGCCGGAAAACGGGTAATGTATTTCTGAGTCCGCCCGCTCTCCTCGATTCCCCGTTTCGATGTCATTCCGAGTCAATTCATTCCAGTCCTTCAGAGGCGAGTCAAACCCATACGGGATCGCGAGACATTCAGCGACATAGTGTGGCTCGTGATGCTGATGCTGATGTTGGCCACAGCCGTAGTGATGCACCTCGGTTTCTTTTTCAAATCTTGACCCCCGCGGGACTGCCTAGCTCCCTGTCCTGCCAATCCCATCCCATTCCATCCTATCGAAGCTCAGCTCAGCTCAGCTCAGCCCTGATCATCTGGACTTTGCTGGAGAGTTGACCGAAAGTGATTTGGTTGAAATCCAGTTTCCCTTCAAAGCAAGAAATGTTGACGTGGATCCGTCGCGTACATTATACGAATCCCTACTGTATGAGCTAAACCTCTGCCACCGTGTGTGGTGCATATGCATGTTCGCCTGAACCCAACCCGAGAGCTTTGCTTTACTGCTGCCAGTCTGTTCTGTGCTGTGCTGTTGCGACAGTTTGCAAACTCTCGACCCGGCAGCTTCGGGGCGAATGCCAAAGCGGAATGGTGGGTTGTTTGGGTAGATGGATGGGTATGGATGGTGATTCTGCAATCCTGTAGCCGGATATACTGATGTGACTCGGTCAAACAGCTGAAGATTTCAGAACCTTGTGACTTGTGCAGATTGCCCGGCAAGGCTTTGGCGCAAGGGCGGCATCTGTGGCTGACTGAGACCAATGAGGCCAGCCCGGAAGTCTTCACTCGGTCCTTGTTGGCTAAGGTTTGCCTCCCAAAGATTCCAGCTCTCCTTTGGGTGCATAGGAATTTTAATAGCAGGAATATTTTTGCTCGGGGTTGTTGACTTTCCTGCATCACTGTCTTCGTCATCGTTGGACTCGAGCGTCTCTGACGGTTCGAGAGTAGTCCACCCCTTGGTGGCAAGCGTCTGATGGCCCTCGTCTGTTGTTGGTTGCATGACGATACCATCTGATCGACCTCGGGCAACAGACTGCGCGAATCCAGGTACAGCCGAGCCCGTCTCTCTTAACTGCGTGCGCAAAGTAAAGCTTACAGTTGTCCATCTGCAGGAACTCTAGAACAGATGAGACGGAATGCTCTATAGCTGCAGCAAATTGGTTCAGGCCAGCAAGTTTCTGTTGTGATGGAACATCCCTAGCATTGAACGATTTGAAAAGTTAGTCCAAGACCAGACTGGAACCTTACCACATCGATTTGTTCACATTTGCTCTCGACAGACGGTTTTATGCATTCCTTTGTGCAAGGGCGTTGTGGAATTTGGAACTACAGAGCTTGTAAGTAAACCCCGTGCTTCTCTACGAGATACGAACTTCTTTGTTGAAACGAATTCCTTCCAGCTAGCGCAGCTGTAGGATGTTGTTCAATGCTCTATATATTCTGATGACGGACCGCATTCAGCACACGTGCCCACATCTCATTACGAGGTACCGAAATGTGTCTCCGGGTGCACGAGCTCGAATGTAGACAGCAGGGTCAGTAAAAGCACCAGTCGAGTTCCGGCGATGAAATTGCTAGCCTTCATGGATACGAGGTATTAAAAAGAGCTCGCCAAATTGTGCGTCAGGTGCGTGAAGACCCCGCTCTAGTACAGCACATCAAGACATTCTTCGCGGAACAGTTCAAACCCGTGGGCTCTGAGCAATCGTCTTCGGGTCCTCAACATCAGGGCGATACTCTTCTGCAGCAGCAGCAGCAGCAACAGCCAGGACGAAGTGGTGCCAACGTCGATCAACATGGAGCCAGTGCGGCCTGGCTCTCGACCTCGTCTCCGTGGGCGAGTGTCAACGTCAGCCATCAGGACTCGATGGTCACATTCTCACACGAAGCCGCCAGAGACAGCGCGCACGGGCACGGGCACGGGCTGCACGACGACGCGGTGGCCATGCTGGTGGACGATCAGAAGAGTATGGGCGCGAGCGCCAAGAGCTGGGACCTTCTCTCGGATCACATCGACGGCTTGCCCGGCAGCGACATCTCGCTGGACCCATACGTGGGCAGCGGGACGAACTCGTCCTCGGATCTCATGCTCCTGAGTGCCAGACATCCATCGTCGCAGCCGCTGCAACATTTACGTCGATTCGGATCTCAGCGCGCCGCCGCGCACTCGCTCGACCACGCCGAGCCCGACCCCTTGACCCGCTACGACCGCCAACGACAACAGCCGCTGGGCTCGACCAGCGCCTTCGTCGACTGGAGAATGACGGCCGGGTCCGCCCCCAAGGCGCCGCTCCCGGGGAACCAGCAGTGGATGCTGAAGAACGCCTTGTTCCACATCACGCACTTGTACTCTGCTCCGCGCAGCGACGAAGCCACTCTCGTCTCGGCCGACAATCGCAGCCGCTCCGGCGGTCCCCGGAAACCGGCTGGCGCGCAGGAGGATCTGAACGTGAGTCATGTGCTCGCAGAGCGCCGCCGGCGCGAGAAGCTGAACGATCGGTTTATGTCACTCCGAGCCCTCGTTCCGTTCGTCACCAAGGTACGACCCCGACCCTGATCCCATGGCCCTCACTCGCTCCCAGTCTCAGTACGCGTCCTCTCCACTCGAATACACATCAGGACATGAATTCTCTTTCCTGTTCTCCATGATCGACTCTGAGAGCTCCACAATTCGGGGAGTAGTATCGGTAGACACATGACCTGATGAGAAGCAGCTGTGAGCCGCAGTAGCTGCTGCCATAAGGCACTTATTTGTTTTTCGACAGGTCCTTGCAATCCAGATGGAGACAGTAACTCGTCCAGGATTGATTCTTTCGAGGTGTCCATTTTGGTTATCCGTGTTAGCTGCAAGTGCATGCATCATGACGCCGAGTCAAAGCACAACGTAGTGACGAGTATTAGGTGATCGAACATCGAGATGCTGTTTCATGTGGATTCTCTCACCGTCGTGATGTGATGTGAGGAAGGAAGCAGAACTGGTTGCATTATTCGGATTCGGCTCGTGGCGTGTGCAGATGGACAAGGCTTCGATACTAGGAGACGCCATCGAGTACGTGAAGCAGTTGCAGAAACGCATTCAGGAACTGGAGCTGCGAGATAAGCAGGCCGAGTCGTCCCATTTGCCGCGTTCTCATGCAGACGATCTGAGCAAATCGCAGTTGGGAGACTCGACACCCAAAACCTCACCTTCTGAGACGTTCAACAGCTCCCATTTCGAGATAGTGTCTAATGGTAATCACATGACAGGTATAGAAACGAACGTGAATGTCAGCTTCGACGGAGCATCGAATTCCGATCCCAAAGTGCCCTCGGGTGACAACGAAATGAAATCTAGTCCCAGTCTTGCATCGGACCGAGAGGACCCGGGATTCTGCAATTCCGACGGGGAATCCAATGCTACACAGGCCAAAAGATTAGACGGAGTTAAAGCTAACGTCAAGGTCACAGCAGACGATGATGTGAGCCTTGAACTAAATTGCCCGTGGAGGAAAACCTTATTAGTAGATGTATTGCGAACTTTGAACGATCTGCAACTTGATGTATTCGTCGTTCAAGCTTCAACGAGTGATGGAACCCTCGCCACCGTTTTTAAAGGCAAGGTGCGTGCACTGGCGATGCGCATGCTCTTCTCCCTCTCGTTTCATGCCCACCTATCGGTCGAATTTCCTTCTTTTCCATACCAGGAGGAAGGAGGTGCACATGTCAAAGGCTTAATTTGCTTGATGTTCGGTTTTGTGCAGATGAGGGAGTCGACACATAGCCTTACGGCAACAAAGACCAAACTGCAGACAGCTTTGGAAGAAACCGCTGCTGGGATGGGCTCCAGATAACAGTTTCCATAAACAAAACGTCTCTGCCCACGTTGTGAATCCAAGTAGAGAGAGCATATTTGTAAAGGCAGGAACAAAGTTTCCTAAGGAGGTGTAGCGACCCAGGAACTCGACATCGTTAAATTTCTGCGAAGCATTTCGAGTAGGTGCGAGCTTATCTGCTGTATATGGTCACGCAGGTGCGGAGGAGGCGACTTTTATAAAGCTGGTAATCCGAATCTTCCTTCGAAACTGTCTACCATAACTACACTGAGCTGCAATGCAAGCTAAGGGCCTTACAGATCACCCAAAGTAGAAGAAGAATAAATCATGAGTGGGTGGGTGGGAGATGTACAAAATGTATGCATGTTACAATGTCCATTGTAGATTACAGTGTATAGTTGCAGATTAATACAAGGTTGTGGCATGCACTCCTGGCAATAAGCTTCCGTCCCCCACGAAAGTACTCGTAGGCGGACAATTTTTGTAAACATCAGTCAACAGGATGAAAGTCTGTGCAAAGCCTGACACCGCTTGCGACTATAAAGCAACAACAGGCAACCCGATTTCAACCATTCCAAGTCTGTTCTGCTGCTGTTTATGTGCCTTTCGGTTCAAGTGCATGCATTGTGCGGGTCCAAGGTTCATAGTCAGTCAATTGCAACCTTACACTAGAATAGCAAAGTAGAATACTCTGCTATGATGCAACTGTCTACTCTACACCGTCCACTCGCGACAACGCTTCACATCTGCGAAGTACTCTGCGCTCCTTCACAAGGCTCCACGAATACAAGTCGGTCAAAGTACGGCCACTTTGTCAAACCTCTCGGCTACCAAAACTTCGCTCGACCTATCTCTCTCCGCCTAGTATGTACGGCTGCGGCAGTAACTGGCACTTGTAGAATTGGGTTACGTTCCAGCTGACGTAACCGTGACTGATGGGGAGGATCGTCATTCATCGCAATCTTCACAGAGGAGCCAATGGGATTTTTGTTCGACCTCGACAAGATCGTCTGACTTGCAAATCATCAACCCTCCAAAGTTACTGTGAACACATTATCATGTGCGTGTGACAAAATCGAATCCAGAATCTGGATACGGATTCGGTCAAGGAGTACAGTTGTCTACTCCAGACGTTCCAGAAAACAGTTCCTGAACTTGAACGGAAGTAGGAGTAGACTTTGTTGTCCATGAACTGACTTTCCAGAGTTTAGATAACTCCTCTTTACTTTCCAGATACAAGAGTCAAAAGTTCATTGTGAATGCGCTACAACTTGGTACGACTTGTTCCCGTTTGCTTCATGCACCTGACATAAGTGGGGAAGACCGTGCAGCTAATGATTCGGCTATGGAAGCAAGTACCCTCTTCCTGGATGATAAAACATTCGGTGCATATTTCTATATATCTTACAGTTTTACCGGCCCTGCTTCTTGTTTGACCTATTCGAATCATCTGAAAAATCGAGGAATACTTCTTGAAGCGAACGAGAGTGGTGAGCGATCGAAGAAGTTTCCTTTTGGCTGAAAGAGGTTGAGAACTTAGATCATTGACGAGAGGGAAAAGGTAATCTATCATCAACATACTCGAGTTAACTTCTGTAGCAACAATTACATGGGCACCCATTCACCATCATTCTGCCTAGATCCCGGAAGAACCATCGACTAATCAACTCTCTATGAAAGAGATAAGGAAGATATATACGCATAGATGTAACTGTCTTGGAAATTTGCTGAAGTAAGCACTTGAAAAAGGTAGATATAAGTATATTGAGTTGAAGTATCACAAGTAGAAAATCACTCAAACTTCAAAATATGTTAATGAATATTTTCAACTTTCGCTATGCTAAGTTTGCTTAATAATATGCTTTTGTTAGTTGCTTACAAGGTGATCAAGTGGTTTGGCATGAAGCCTTATTTAAGAGTGAAATATTCTATGAATGATATATCAGGTGCAATTAAAATTCGAATTAAAAATTATCGAACTTAGACTTAAAAAAGTTAAATACGTTGGAAAATATTGACAAGCAATACATAGTTTATGAATGAAATAATCAAAATTGCTGAATGAATTTCAAATGTTTATAAAATCGCACATCAGGAACCATCGAGCAACGTTTGAGATTCATTTGGTGAATTCAGAAATAATAAAAACGTCATCAAACAAATTATTATCAAGTTCTTAAAAAAATCATCAATTTCACTCTGTCAATGCCAGAAAATGAAAACATGGGTTCAAAACTTCTTGCAGAGGACAAAGTGGTTGATTATTATACATCTCAAATTGCATTTGATGCAGGCTGATCATCAATTTTCACTGTGTCGATGCTAGAAATTAGAGCATGGATTCAAAACTTCTTGCAGAGGACAAAATGGTTGACGATTACACCCTAACCTTGATAATGTCACCCTTGTTAATAGAACACTTTGATATTGTCAACTAAAACTTTGAAACCGATTTTCCTAGTGTAAAACTCCCTTGTTATTATCACTATCACCCTTCATGATGTCACTATTTTTTTCCAAAATCTGTAGTGTAAGTGTGATAATATCAAGTATGGATGAATTTTATGTGAGTTTGATTGACAGATCGTAGTAACAAAAAGTTCATGAGACGCCTTGTGATAAATGAAATGCTATTAAGAGTGTCATGAGCCGTTCCCTTGCACCAACCTTGAACAGTGTTGATGATTCAAAATTTCAGTTCCGTGGTCATTTGATGGATCAACATTGTGTCTTTTCTGTTTATCTGAGGTATGAGTCTTCACATTGCATCGCACTCAATGAAAGATGTAGCTTTTTACAAATATGCTAAGTATCTTTTGAATTTTATGTTTAGCCAAGGTTCTGAGATTTTCAACACTCAAGAGTTGTTAGGAATGGAAAAAATCCATGACAAACTCATTAAAATGGGTGTTGGACATTTAACATCACTAAAACAATATGACATTAGAAACTTCTTTGTTTTTAGTGAGGGATCTCTACCGGATCTCAATGACACATTATGATGTGTTCTTGTTGTCATTCATAGTTTTGAATTATGTTTTACATTCAAAAATGTTGAAGCCTTCCATTTGTTATTTTATTTTTTACATTGTAATTTTATTTTGATTTTTTACTTATTTCTTTGATAATATCACATTATGCACAAATCTTCAAAATTTGACATTATAAAAAATGTCACACCTTGTTTATATCACACTTTAAGGTGAAACAGAGGGTGTGATATTATCAAGATTAGGCTGTATACATTTCAAAATGCATCTGATGCAGGCAGATCATCAATTTCCACTCTGTCAATGCCAGAAAATGAAAACATGGATTCAAAACTTCTTGCGGAGTAAAAAATGGTTGACGGGTCAGTTGTGGTGGAACTTGCAGAGATCCCCATGTTGCATCGATGTGGTCGGAAGTTCCTAAGGAGCAGTTGACGGTAGATGGTAATTGAAATTGCTTGACGTGGATAGTTTTTCCACACTTGTGTGGTAGGTCAAGAGGATGCTGTCAATGTCATTTCTAGAGCAGTCAAGCGCAAACACGTCGGCTTGAAGAACCCAAATTGCGTCCATGCTTTTTTATGGTCCAACAAGAGTAGAAAAGACATAAGTTACCAAAGCTTTAGCACAACACTACTTTGGAGCAAAGCAAGCTATGATAAGGTTGGATATGAGTAAGTATATGAAGATATGCAAAGTTAATAAGCTCATTGGATCTCGTCATTGGCCCTATCAGTGTGCCTCATGGGGAGGAATCTGAGATGTTCTTGCTTCCTCCTTCCCATGACGGTGCTAGCATAGCATCAGTTGAGGTCTACTTAGTTGGGCGGTAGCAGCTGGGCCTGAGCCACCAGCGACTGATGATGAGGCCTTCAATGGGCATGATGCAAGCAAGTGGTGCGATGCTGATCAGGAGGAATTGGACAGGCTGAAGGAGTGTGGCACCTATGTGCTGGTGGATCGACCTCAAGGCGCTAGGGTGCTGCAATCTCGTTTTGTGAGAACTCTCAAGAAGGACAGCCAGGGCAGGATTGTGAGATACAAGTCCAGGCTGGTTGTCAAAGGTTTCATGCAGCGTCCAGGTGTGGACTTTTCTGAGGTGTTTGCTCCAACAAGCCGACAGGCTAACACCCGGATGCTGTTGGCGCTAGCAGCTGCCAAGGATTGGGAAGTGCATTAGATCGATGTGAGGACAGCATTCCTGTATGGGGATCTGGAGGAGGAGATCTACATGGAGCAGCCTCCTGGTTATGCAAGATGTGGGCCAGACAAGGTGTGGCTACTGAAGAAGACCATGTATGGTCTGCGCCAGGCATCGCGTGCCTGGTACAAGCGGTTGAAGGATGTGCTGGAGACAGCGGGGTATCAGGTGTCTAGCAATGACCCAGCTCTATTCCACAAGCTGAATCCAGAAGCAGCGTTTGCTTCAGTGCATGTGGATGACATCCTGTCTGCATCTGCATCCCTAGATGAGGTGCAAGATCTGAAGTCAGCGCTGCGCAAGGTGTTTGACATCACGAACATGGGTGATGTTAAGCACTACCTGGGGATGAAGGTGCTGCGTGATCGTAAGCGACGTATGCTGAAGCTATCTCAGCGTCAGGTCATTGTTGAGCTGTTGAAGAGGTGGCAGTTGACAGACTGTGCATCCAAGGCAACAGCTCTAGGCGTGGTTTCCAAGCAACCAAGGCTGGTAAGGCACAGGGGGCCGTAGAGCTCAAGCAGTATCAGGAGTTGATGGGCTCGTTGAACTATCTCGCCAACTGCACTAGGCCAGACATTGCCCAAGCCGTGGGATTACTGTCTAGGTTCTTACATGCACCAACTACGGAGCATGCAGCCGCTTCCAAGAGTGTGCTGCGTTACCTGGCAGGCATCAAGGATCTCTGGATTGTGTACTCTGGGAGTGACACAATCATGAAGGGGTTTTGTGATGCAGATTTTGCTGGAGATCTTGATAGCATGCGCTCAACCACAAGCTATGTGTTCCTGGTGAATGGTGGAGCTGTGTGCTGGGGCCCAAGGCTGCAAAAGACAGTGGCTCTCTCTACCATGGAGGTAGAGTTCGTGGCTTTCACCAGCGGTGCAAGTGAGGGGTTGTGGCTGGAGCAGCTACGGGCAAATTATGGGCTGTCAAAGGCACCTGTCTTGATTTTCAATGACAGTCAATCAGCTATTGCTATGCTCAAGAATCCTATCGTGCAGAGTAGGGCAAAGCACATTGATGTGCGCTACCATTTTGTGCGTGAGCGTGTGGAGATGCAAGAGATCAGTGTGTCTTATAACTCTACTAAGGATATGATGGTTGATATTTTCACCAAGCCGCTACCTGCTAACAGCTTTGTGGCATGCAGGGCAGGGATGGGCATCAAGTGAGCATCTATGAGACAATTCATGCAAGTTGACGGCACTGGTCGTATAGGGCCTGTCGTGTTGGTCCCCGGTGGTGGGATTGAAGCATGATCAAGAGGTTATTGATTTGCTGATGTTATAGGGAGGAGTTCCATGCAGTCCGCGCATGGTGCATGTACGGCATGGTGTGTAATCCACCCATGTGATAGATGAACTGAATGATCCTT